ACTTCAGAGATCCATATGACCTAAACTTCGGGTCCCATGCACGAGTTTTTTTTCTCCGTGTTGGAGGGGCCAGGTGCTCTGACGAGAATCGATTATTTAGCATAGGTTTAAATGGAGGAAATCCGGTGTTGCCAAATTGCTGGATCCGCCTCTGAGCAACTCGAAAAGCTGTGCGCAACTGGGCACCTCAAAATCCTTTAAAATCGAGTTTATTAAAGGTGAATTTGAAATATTTTCCTATTCCCTTACAATTACTTCTGATTGAAGAGGGAGGGGGGAGGATTGCGACCCAGGCTCCCCTTTCCCAAGATAGCATCTACTTTTAGGGCCGCCAAACAAAGTTCAGCCTGGAGGCGCTGAAATATTAGAGCCGGCGTGGGGCCGGTACTGCAGAAGCCATGTAATTGAGACAAGATTCAGGTCGATTTTCTCTGAATGCCTACTCTTGACTCACACCGTATATTACTCATTAGCAGAGCATAATTAGCAAGTAGCGTTTTTTGAACACCGTTAAACGTCGATTTCACACGAAAAAATAATTTATCTTCACTTCATACGGTACTAGTACGGTTGTGCCTTACGGTACTTACTGTTAAAAATTGTAAGATCGCATACTTTAGGCCCCTAAATAGCATTATAATCACGATATTTATTCTCGCGGAGGGTAGGTATTGATGGATGAAGGTATTCAGAAGAGAAGCAACATTATGAGTCAAGCTATTGTGACTGCGCGGCTGATCCTGACTCGGAAGTTAGCATTGAAGCCAAAAATGGCTGTAAGGTCAAAGAGGATTGGTAAAAAGCGGAATACTGACAATGAGCCTAACTTCACTGCAACTCGCTCTGCCGTGCTAAGGAAGAACGCCGCATGAGCCTTTAGACGTTGCCGAATTCCCCCTGGCAAATCACTAATTTTCAGGGAAATTTTTGAATGTTTTTCTACCACTTCCTCAGAAAATTTTGTTTGTAAATTGATCTAAAGTGTAAGAAAATTTCAAGCAAAAATAATCATTATTTTCTTCAAAAATAAACATTTTATCGAAGGAAATTTGGCAACTCTCGAATGTTCATACGGCGTTCTTCCTTAGCACGGCAGAGCTGGAGCTAATTCATCGTTCGCAAATTATAGCTTGATTATAGCGTGATCACTGCCTGTAGGATTTTTCAAACTGATCTTATTTCAGGATAGAATCGCATACCTGATTTTTAGTGTAACAATGGTGGAAGTCGCAAATCAGGTAGTTTAATTGAGACTTATCAAAAACTTTGCTTTCCTTTTACCTTTTCGGGGGAAAAGCAGAGATCGTCATACTCCGATTTTTTTTTTTTTTTTTTTTTTTTTTTAAAGAATATTCTACGCACGGAAAAGTGACTTGATTTTACCAGAAATATTCTTGAATCCGTATGCACAACTTTCCTTAAAACTAAACATTTTATCGAAGGCAATTTGGCAATTCTCGAATGTTCATACGGTGTTCTTCCCAGGCATGGCGCAGTATAGTTCCAGCGCACGCGACTCAAACTGCATTCATATCCGGGCGAGCAAGTGGAATTAAGAGTGAATTAGCGTATTTTTGGCGAGCACTTGATGCGAGCTGGAAGTTATGTTGGACGTGGTAATATTTAATCTCTAGGAGAGTTTTATGGTTTTTCTAGCGTGCGCGGTGCATGATCCGTTACGAAAATGATTGGCGCGTTATCGTTACGAGGTAAAGTTCGCGCTATTTCGGTTTCCGGTTAAACTCATTTCTGAAAAGTTGCAGAAACTGGCCGGTGTCGACTTTTTCCGCGACCACGACGTCTATCCGAAAATGCGCAGAAACACTCATCTAGCTAGTGATTAATGTAAACTGTACTGCCATGCCAGGTAAAAACACCGTAAAAGCATTCGAATGTTGCCAAATTTCCACTCAGAAAATATTCACTTTTTTAGGAAACTCAGGAATATTTTTCCTTGAAATTTTCAGATACCTACTTCAGATCAAATTACAAATAACTTTTTCGGAAAAATTGAAAGAAAATTAAATACAGATTTTTCCGAAAATTCTTGATTTGTCATAGGCAATTTGGCAACGTCTGAAGGCTCATACGGCGTTCTTTCTCAGCATGGCAGAGTAGACGTAACGCGGGAAAAACCATCATTGATGTTTTCTTCACGTATGCTTGCGAGGAGCTGCTTCGCCCGAAAAATAATAAATGATCATTTCTATACAGTGTTACATAGTGAACATTGGGTTCGATGACGTCATTGCCAGACGGATAGCCTCTGTTGGAGTCAAACATCATTTCGATGACTAAGGTGCAAACCCACGTACCTCCATTGAGGTGTTCCGCAAAATTCCGCAGCTATTTTATTTTTTAGAAGAAAAACAAGCCATCTTTATGGCTTGCAATTAATACAGAATATTCTGCCGAGAGAGAAGAAAAATCACGAAAGATTTCATGGAATTACGTTGAGTAGTTTTTCGAAGAAAAAATAAATCAGGATAGGGAGTCTAAAACGCCGCAAACAGAGACAAGTGATTTAGCACTTTGGCTATCGATTAACCCCTTCGAAATGTCCATTCTCGGTCCTTTAGCATCGCGGAATGCTTTAGGGCAATTGTACAACGAGCAGGGGCATATAGCTAAGTCCCCCCCCCTCCCCCCTGGAAAAACTGCACGATTGAAGATTGCCTTGGAACCGGTTCATTTTCTTGAATAATTGCATTGAGCACACGACAGGAAAAAGTGAAAAGTTTGAAATATCTTTCCACGATTGTCGGTATAGACTTAAACTGTAAGTTCACATGCAGATATAATTTGCAAGAGCATTGCCTCAAATGGGTCAAGAGGGTCAATTTTCCAAAATTTCCTGGAGAAAACCCTCAGAAGTTGTGCTGAGAAGACCCTAATCCGACCTGGAAAAGCAAGGGCCCGGTAGCTGACCCCCAGAGAATTGCATTAGTTGCGCCTGTGAAAACGAATCTCAAAGGCGGAGACTCAACATGAGGCTATACACGTTTAATTTCTACGTTTAGTAGATTTGTAACAAAATACAGGCAAGCGTATGAGAGTATAAAGGAAGAGTTGGATATCGATTATTGGAGCACATGCAATACTTCATTTCCATCGATCTCCCGCACGCACAACGGATGTTCTTTGAAGCTCGAGCATAATTGAAGAGGTTCACTCTCGGATCTTTACCATGATCTGAAAAATCCACTCACGTGCGTTTCGTAATGGAGATGTTGCATGTGTGAGGGATTTGCAATTTGACTGTTGATTCATACATAAAAGTTCGCGAGAAACACGATGGTGCCACTGGTTTCCTCTGAAATCAACTCCCAAGCTCAAAAAAAAGCTCTCAAGTTGAGGCCAAAATGGAGGGGATATCCCACCCTACCCTGAGAGTCCACCTCTACATCAAAACAAACTCTCCATGCACAGATAGGGAGCAAATACATTGACAGGGCTGCCGCTTTACTTGGGGACTCTAAAACTGAAAACATGGCATCACTGCTGATGTATTTGCTCCCTATCTTTGCATAAAGAGTTTGTTTTGATGTAGAGGTGGAATCTCAGGGTAGGATGGGATATCCCCTCCATTTTGGCCTCACTTTGAGAGCTTTTTTTGAGCTTGGGAGACGATTTCAGAGAAAACCAGTGGCACCATTGTGTTTCTCGCGAACTTTTACAGAAGAATCAACAGTCAAATTGCAAATTCCTCACACATGCAACATCTCCATTGCGTTCGAACATACAGCAAACTTCTAAGTTTGAAAATTGGCACGTAAGATGCCATTAACCCACGACGGCAGTGAGTAAGCACAGCTTTCATGCGATACGATGTGGAGTTAATGCTGCTTTGCTCGAGATTATGTCAATTTTTGCTTGCTGACGGCTCCCTCAAAACTCTCGTTTTTTTACAAAACAGACGAATATTGCTGTTTTACGAAAAGTTTTGTCAACATTTGAAAAATAATCGATTTTAAAAATGATCGATACTGTGCTCCTCGGTACGTAAAACGGCAGCATAAGCCCTGGCCGTAGATGCTCACGAGAGTGACACAAAAAGCGAATTCGGAGGGGAAAAATTGTTACCTAGGGTACCATTTTTTTACCCATGACAGCAGTAAGTGAGTACGCAGCCCCGCGGAATAATGTAGACCTACTGCTGTTTCGTCCGAAATTATGTCAACACTGATTTCTCAAAACTCGATCTTCACGAATAATAGGAATATCGCGCTATATGATATGCGAGCCTGTCAGTTGAATCAAATTGGCTTTATCAAAAGTTGAAAGCAACTCGATTTTGAAGATGTTCGTTACTGCTGACCTCGGCAAGACGTCAGTATGAGCCCTGCCTACGAGCATGACACAAAAAGCGAGCTCGGAGCTTGAAAACTGTTACCTAGGGTACCAATTTTTTACCCATGACAGCAGTAAGTGAGCACACAGCCCCGCGGAATAATGTAGACTTACTGCTGTTTTGCCCGAAATGATGTCAACACAGATTTCTCAAAACTCGTTTTTCACTAAGAAGAATATCGCGCTATTTGACATGCGAGCCTGTCAGTTGAATCGAATTGGATTTATCAAAATTTGAAAGCAACTCGATTTTAAAGATGTTCGTCACTGCTGACCTCGGCAAGACGTCAGTATAAGCCCTGCCTACGAGCATGACACAAATAGCGAACTTGGAGCTTGAAAACTGTTGCCTAGGGTACCCTTTTTTTACCCATGACAGCAGTATGTGAGCACGGAGCCCGGCGGAATAATGCAGACTTACTGCTGTTTTGCCGGAAATGATGTCAACACTGATTTCTCAAAACTCGTTCCCCACAAATAAAAAGAATATCGCGCTATTTGACATGCGAGCCTGTCAGTTGAATCGAATTGGATTTATCTAAAGTTGAAAGCAACTCGATTTTGGAGATGTTCGTTACTGCTGTCTTCGGCAAGACGTCAGCGTAAGCCCTGCCTACGTGCGTGACACAAAAAGCGAACTGCGAGCTTACCTGGCGTCCAAGCTGGCGTCGGCGTCGGCGAAACCGCGCGTGTAAATCCGCAAGATGCACACGTATCCGCGGCGGGCGAGTCGGCGAGAAACTGAGGCTCCGGAGCGGAGCGAAGTCGGGTCTGTTTGGGTTGGCGCGCTGCGGCGCTCCGGCTACGTCATAGAGTCATGATCAGCCGCCTCGGCGAGCTGCGCCGCCGACCACGCTCCACCCTCCTCGCGCTGGACCAAGAATAGTCTCGGCCGCTGCGCTCGCTATGTAGACGTAGGAAACTTGTGCCTCTTCCACGGCGACCACGGCTCCTTGAGTCCTCGGACCGCGACTACTACGGACCGCTGCTGCTGCTGCTGCTGCTGCTCGGGCACGGCCGGCGCCGCCGCAGCAGCCGTGTTGCCGGCGCCGCGACGACGCCGGCCGTCCCGCGTCTCGAACCTGGACCCGCGTCCAGCCCGCTATGGATGGACGAGCCATTGAGAGTGTTCAGCCGTCTTCTCGTAGACTTGAATCGTTGGACTCAGGACATAGTGAGACTCAAGACGAGGCCACGTTAGGCATCTGAAGAAGGAGTGCAAGAAGAAGAAAGAGCGCTAGGAGGAGGAAGAGGAAAGATGAAGGGAGGAAAAAAATGACAAAGAAGGAAAGAGTAAGAAGAAATAGAAGAAAAATGAAGAAAAAAGGTAGAAGAAAACGGGAGAAGAGAGAAAGAAGAAGAAAAAAGGAAGAAGAAAAAAGACTGAGTAAGAAAAAAGGGAAGAAGAAATAGGAATAAGAAGTAGAAGAAAAGGAAGAGGAAGAAAAGAGAGGGGGTGGAAGAAAAAACAAAAAGAAGAAGAAGAAGAAAAAAGCAGGAAGAACAAGAACATGGGGGAAGAAGAGAAGAGAAGGAAGAGGAGGAGGAAATATGGGAGAAGAAGAAGAAGAAGAAGAATGGAAGAAGGAGAAGAAAAAGGAAGGAGAAAAAAGAATGAAGAAAGAGGATATATTAAGCGGAGAAAGGATAAATGAGAATGGTGTATAGAAAAGTGGGATCATCGTGTAACTGGACGGAACTGCTCGGCAGCGCTCACTTAAAAAATTGATTTTTCTCGAGCCGGAAGAGACTAATTTAACACCAAGTCAGGTCGCGTATAATTTTCAGTATAGGCAACACAAGCTCTTACGTGGTTGAATGGTGGAATCGTCGTAAAATTGAATGGTTACTCGGCACACTCAAACTAGATTTTAATCAAACTAGAAGAGGTTGCTTAAACACCACGTCAGTTTGCCTTCAATTTTTAGTGTAGGCAGCACGAGCTCTTCAGTGGTCGAATAGTGGTATCGTCGTGAAACGGTACGCTCTGTTTCCACACACTAAAGATGTAGCTTATCATGACTTAACGTCATTTCAGTTCGCCTTCAACTTTTAAAGTAGGCACCACGAGTTCTCATGTGGTCGAATAGTGGTATCATCATCATGTAATAATCAGACGGTCTCTAGCGGCGAATTTAAAATATCGTGGACACGAGAACTTTTCGCGTCAACTTTTTTGAAGTTTATATTGTGTAGTCTGCTTTTATGTCGTAGGAAGGTTGACTTCAAGAATGGGAGCAAAGATGGTCAACTGTTACTCCTCTGATAGTTATTACTTACTATTCTGTGCTGGAAGTACAACCGCCGCTAAGCCGCGCGCCATACCGCTGCGCTGTCACGCAGTGACGCAGTCACAACCAGTGCCCCACTGCCCCCACCATTTTCTCACTCCACTCCGCCCATCCTACCTTCCTTCCATTCATCTCCAAGCAGTTGATCTTCATCTTGACCTTCAGGATTTTATGCTGACTCCTCTAACCGAACGTGAGTCTGGGACCGTATTGCAGTAATATTTATATTACGCTCTTTACAAGCTGGAATAGGGCCGGAAAGAGAAGACACGAAACCTTTATACAATAAAATCTATTTGTTGGAGTTATATCAAAGAAAATATGGCTCCATCTTGTATATCAAAGAATGCGTCAAAATTGGTCAGTGAAATTTTTCAACGGTGTAAGTCGGCAATCACATAACTCGGTTTGCGACGTCGCAGACTTCCTGTAATACTTTATTTTTTAAACGGAAAACTGCTCAACGGCAATTCTTTAGAACTGCTCAACGGCAATTCTTTAAAACTGCCGTGATTTTTCTTTTCTGTGCGGAGAAAATTCTGAAAAAACTTCAAGAAATGATGTCAATTTGTTCTCCTTTAAAAGAATAACATGGAGGCGGAGATTTTCAGACACCGCAAACGAGTTATGTGATTGCCGAATTACTCCGTCGATTTATATTTTAATACTACTTATTCATAATTCATAGCTAGGTTATAATTACTCGCTCACTACTTAATATTTACTTCTGAACCTATTCCTTTCGTTATGCCCCCCTTCCAAATATCCTCCGTTGGGACATAGCACCAGGATAAGAAAACGTACCTATGTCGTGGAACCTAATTTCTTGTACCCCGTCTAGCGGCCGAAAATCTCAATTCCGAGTACTCATTTCGATTTAAGGTCCCTTTTCTCGCGGGTGAGCACACATATTGAACTTTGCGTGGTTTTTATAAATGATTGGAATATCAAAACCGACGCATAACGGGCTGGACAGTTTGACGCAAAGTTTGTGGAAATATTCCAAAGTTGGACGGGATTGCGTCAACCATCTAGGCGGCGCGGCGCGTCACATAGCGTTGGTGTTATTCGATGACATATGCACCGCTCTGCCCTGCTAGGCAAGAACAGCGTAACTCCTTTCATGACCCTACGGGCAGATGAGCGGTTCTTGTCGAACACGGCAGCAATGAAGCTGGCGCGTGGCATCAAACGAGGGTCAACACGCGAATCGTAAGGAGAGAGGCAGGGCTGAGGGGAGTGAGGGGGTGTAATTCGTAGCCGCTAGAGGATCTGTTGACATTTTTCCAAATTTTCCGTTCTGTTAGCATTTCATGTTTCGGTTGAAATATCAAGTCTATGCAATGTCATGAAGTTTAGCAACTGACAATGAGTTCCGGAGCTAACATCCGCACCTTCCGGCCAAAGTACCACAAGCGCCATGCAACGTCTCAAAATTTCCGCCGCCATTTTATTTTTTTACGGAGAAATTGGTGGTTGAACACTGAAACAAAAAATCTCGGTGTATTTACTAAGAACAGGGTAAAATTACCAAGAATTCAGGGTTCTATTTGATCCCAGTTTTTTCTTGGTAAAGTTACCACTTATGGAATTGGTAATTTTACCGAGAAATCTCGGTAAAATTGTTGAACTTTCACGGTAATTTTACTGGACCTTAGTAAAAATGCCAATATTTTTTATCGACTATGGTAAAATTACCGGGATAAAATGGCAAAGTTACCGGGAATTGGTTATTAATAAAAGAGGTATTCTTACCTGGAAAAAACAGTAAAAATACCGGTTTTTAGGTAAGTTTACCAGTCTGTCATGGTAAAATTACCAATAATTGGTAAAAAAAGTGAGATGGTAAAGGTACCAACGGACCTTGGTAACAACGCCGAGAATTTTTTTTTTTTTTCAGTGAATCTGTTTGAAAACACTGTATGTAATCGGCAGCACAAAGATAATTCAGCGAAATTTTGGGACAACTTCGTTGAACAATGTCTCTGTAAAAAAATAAAATAGCGGCGGAAATATTAAACGTCTCATGGCACTTGTGATACTTTGGCCGGAAGGTATGACGATATGTTGATGCTCTTAAACCCTACTTTGTCCTGATTTTATTCATTTTCAGCGTATGATTACTTACATGTCACTGACAAAAGCTAAGAGCAATGAATTACCACGAGTGAATGAAGAGAACCTTGAAGTCTCTTTCAAAATTATCATAGTGTGTACCTGTGCAGGTACACATTAATAATATCGATTCTTTACCATAGCTTCACACGAGGGGATATCGATAATCGATCATTCACGCTTTTCCACTGCGGCGAAGACTCTATCCTGAACGAATGTTTTTTCCACCGACAAGAATTTCTTGGGGGAGAGGCAGACAATACTATTTTCAATTCTGGGGGCCATACCACCCTCGCCCCCTAGATACGCCTATGGACAATTATTGGGCATTCAACTATAATGAGTCCTCAAACTCGAAATGTCTTGTGTTGAGTACCTAAGTCATGAAGTGATACATACGATTAATTAATGATAATTTCATAATGAACTTAATAACTATAATACTGAACGGAGAATTTTGACTTAGTTATTTTCCAGTTCATACTTGAACCATCGAACATCGACGCAAAATCGCAGCCCATAATATGGACCGCGCTGAGCAGAAAGGAACCATAAGCCACATTAGCTATTGTCAAATTTAATTGGGCAATTTAAAATTGTTCAGATTTGTGTGCAAACAGTGACTTTTCTGCAGAGTGTGAAGCAAATGCCTTTAAAATTTAAAAGGTATCCGCACGAACGATCTCTTGTAAAAAATTAAGTGCCAGAGTCAAATTTAACAATATCTGGTGTGGCTTGGTTCCTTTCTGCTAAACGCAGTCCATATGGCCTATTGCTACTCGCGAACAAATGGATTGCGTTTTGCAAAAAGGAACCACTAGCATGGCAATGTTGCTAAGATTGTGCAACTTCTTTTGTCTTGGAGGAAAAACCCGATTATCCATTTATAGTTTCTATTTCACTCGCTAAAAACTGTAAATTTAAGACAAAAATTCCCATCTAAATTTCACAGTTTTTCATGATTTCCGCAATTTTCTTGCAAAAGATAAAGTTGCACAATCTTAGCATCATTGCAATGCTAGTGGTTCCTTTTTGCAAAATGCAATCCAAATTGCTGCCACGTGTGACGCACTTGACTTTGCGCGTAAGTCGGCTGAATCGGCTGTAGGTCCAAATGAATGTTGACGATCACGCGTGACCTTGACCCTGGTTCAGGCGACCTTGACAAACGCAAACAATGCCTGGAGATAAGTGAGCGGGTGGGGCCACTCCCTTCATCGGGGATGGGAACATCGAGCGATCCCGAGGGAACAGGGAGGAGCGCGGGAATATTGCGTGCCGATACGAATCGGGAGGGAGTTAGATCAGGGGACAGAGAGGGGGGGGCACGCTTCTACGAAATAGGTTAGACTTATTAATTTGTGTCGTTCTGCACTTGAGGATGGGATTATCGAGCTGTCGGTGAAAAC